AAATGAGGTTTTATAATAAAAATTATGTGATAAAATACAAATATAAATTAAATTAGTTACATTTGTTGTAAATAAAGGAGTACTCTAGTACAAATAGTATAAAAATACTTAAGTAAGATAAAAAAGATAATCTCACAAACAATGTAACAATATTGGTGTGTTGTGATGCAAATCACTGACTTGAAAAAGAATTTCCGGTGCAACCAAGGTGCTCCATTGTATTCGCTGGCACGTTCCCTAAGGTTAACACACTACATTTACACAAAGACACTTTTGGGTGGAAGGTTTGAGTCAAGTAACTTATTCCCAATAGAGAATGTGTATAGACTATTGTGCTTGATGTATTTTTCAAGTGTAAAAAATCAGAAAAAAGACTTCTTCTATTTATAGAGAAACATGAAAGAACATAAAAGAACTCAAGCATGGGAGGTGAATAATCAGCTTAAACATCCTCTTAAACGGGGGTTATGAAAGTTTCTTATCAAGAGAATAGTGGTGGTGATCAATCACCTTAAACATCTTCTTAAATTGGGGGTTATAAGAATTACTTAAGAAATTAATGAAAGGAATGGTGTCCTTCCAATAAGTGTATTCTTCCGATAGAGGGTTCAGAATTATTACAGAGCTAATTCTTCAGTAAGGTCAAGTGATCGGAATGCCTAGGTGGAGGCCGCTTCCGATCAGTAATATCAATGTGCAATTGATGTTACAGCTTAATCTTAACTGAACCCTTCGGGTCGAACCCAATCGAATCACCGATCCGAGACGACGAATTAATCCGAACGGATTTAACGAGTCAACAGAGTTTTACGAATACAGACGTCGAAAAATCGAGCATAGGGCGTCGAGACCGAGCGTCGCAAAATCACAAAGCGACAAGTACGAACATGGCCCTAGCACCACACTGGCCTAGCCATGTGGATGCTAGGCTAGTTCAAGCTAGCATGCACCTAGCATGGCTAGGCGCACCATCACAAGCTCAAGGCGCACCATCGCAGCCTGGGCATGCTCATGGCAGCCTATCGCAGAGCACCACAAGCCCCAGGCAGCCCATCGCAGCCAGCAGCGTGCTAGCCTGGGTGCGCATGGCAAGCCATCGCAAGTGCCACAAGCACCAGGCAGCCCATCGCAGCTAGCAGCGCGCTAGCCTGGGTGCCTGGGTGCATGTGGCAGGCTGTCGCAGCTCGCAGCCCAGGCCAGGCACCATTGCAAAGCATGACACCACGCACAACACCATCGCAATGCCAGGGGCGTGCGTGTGTGTGCGTGTGTGCCTTGCAGCCTCACCTCGCAGCCTCGCACAACAACAACAATGATGCGTGTGGGCTAGTGCGTGTGTGCGTGCAATGGGGATGCTGGGTTGCTAGGCAGCAACACCACGCATGCATGTGTGCGTGCCTCGCACCAAGCATAGCAGTGCTAGGCACTGGCTGATGCGAGCGTTGCGTGGTGCATGGTGCGTGGTGCGTAGGATGATGCGAGGGAAGGGCCAGCATGCGCATGCTGGCTGTGTTAGCAATGGCGCGCAAGGAGGTGTGCGTGGGCTGCTAGGCCAGTGCCAGCACTAGGTGCTAGCAGCGCCCAGCGCCAGCATGTAGCACCAGCACAGCCCAACAACAGCATGCACTGGCTGGCTGGCTGGGTGCTGGGCAGCAAGGCGATGCTAGCTGGCAGCCCTAGTTGGCACGCTAGCTGGCAGCCAGCTAGCCCACCTTGACCCGATTTTGATCCTTGTGTGTGGGGACCAATTCATGGCCTTGGGGATCAAGGCAATGGTCCCCCCAAGCCTTGGTCCTCACTTGGCTTTCTCTATTATTGTGCCATGTGTCGATTTATGATTGAATTGATTAATCATTTAATTTTGGAATTAAATAATTATCATTTTACCAACTCTCCCACATTGATGGGAGATTGGAAATCAAGGGATCATTTCCCTATAAATACCAAGCTTGGGTATTGGGAAGTGAACAACCTTGAGTGGAATTAAAAAGGCAACTCAAAGAAATAGTAAACCTTTGATTCGTAAAACTCATAGTTATTTTGTCCGGGTCTTGACTAACCTTCAAGACTTAGGACGCTCGGGTTGGGTCGAGGGTATGATTCGTCGGAGATCTCGTCTTTTTGGGATTTTGAAGTAAGAGTTCTTTGGGAGCGAAGCACGCGTCAAAGGTATAATTCTTGTTCTTAATCTTGTTTGATTAAGTTTATTATGCTTGTGAATTGCTTTAATTAAGGGGCAGGTCTTGGTGGGTTTCCTTCCGTGTAGTGTCGGGTAACTACGAAACCCTACAATTAAGTGAGAGAATCCAAAGATCAAACCGTTGGAGTCCAACTGGCCAACACGTGTCTGATCTGGTGGCTGGACTTGATGCCTTGAATTCCCTTACTTTATTCCAACAACATTTAATTCAGTGCTCATACTATTTAAATATATTTTTTCAATCATTATTGAATATCAAAATATATTATCCAATATCTAGTATTTAAAAATTATTAATTTGCTTCGTTCGATTTCAAGTTTATAAATATGATTAACTCTTTTTAACAAAACATTGTAGATATGAGATGTGTCATTGGAGTAGTGGTTGAAGTTTAAGTATAATAAGCATGAGGTCATAGGTTTGAACATTAATGCTAACAATTAATTTTTTTTTTTGAATTATAGTAGTTGTATGACATAGCGCTACATCATGTGCCTAGTCATGATGACACGTGGCAGGCTCATGTCTTCTCATTGAGTTTTAATATATACTAGTTTTGTGCCTGGCCAATGCTCAAACTGTAGATAAAATTTCAGAATAAACTTTTTTGCTTGAATGTTAAATACGGTTCTAAAATCCCTTTTGATAATGTAAAATATTTAGACATACGATATTATATGGTTTATATTTATATAATAGTGTACTTTTTGTAGTTTTGTTTGTAAATAGATATCATGTTATTATTGACTTGAAATTATTTTTATTGAACTAAAATTATTTTTACTAAACTGAAAGTATTTTTACCAAAATAAAATTAATTTTACTAATGAAAACTTATTTTTACTGATTCTCTAATATTTTTTTTAAAAATAAATTAAATAACAATGCATTTTTTATGGGGCTAGCCACACCATCTGGTCGGACAAAGGGACAACGTAACCCCTATAAAACTAACCGACTAACCCCTGTAATACTAACTGAGTAACCTCTAACACTGACTAAGTAACCCTTATCTATATCACTGATTGAGTAACCACTATAACGCTGGTGACACGGCTTGCCAACTACGTATAAAAGTTTGTAATTAAATATATTATAAATGGATCTTATTTTAAAGAACTTTTTATAACGAATTTGATGATGGAAATAGAATTGAATTACAGGATAATTATTAAAAGTTATCATTAACTTTGTATAGATGAAATATTAGAGTTCTATCGATAATAAAACTCTATACAACAATTTTATCTTAAAAAATCTATCAAAAAGTCGCTTACTTAACATCATACATATGTGTCACAATAATACTTATTTATCTCCTACGTGGCGCGACACTTGGCGAAAAACAGAAACACCAAGTGTCGCTGTCTCGTAGCTTGACTGTGAGATCGACTTTATTTATTAGTGATATATGATATAATATAAATGTGATTAAAGCAAGATAGTAGATGAAATAATATGGGTTATAAAAGTCAAAGTGTTGCATTTCTTTTAAGATACTACGTTCGTTTTTAATTTAGTTGACACCTTTCTTTTATCACGCTTGCTAATGCATTATTTTAATTATTAATATCTCTAATTCTCGACATTGAAAAATTATAAAAAGTTATTAATAAAATATATATTGAGACAATTCAAATAAGATCTCACTTGACTATATTTTACCGTAGTTGTAAATCATAAAAGCTAGTCAAAACATAGTTTTTAAATAGTGTAAAAGTCAAACGGTGTCAATTAAAAAAACGGAGGAGTAAGAAATAAGAATGAATTTTGATCGTGGATATTTTTAAGATCTAACAGTCACGATTATATGCATTAATGCATGTCATGAATCTCCTATGTTTTCAATTGAAACAGCTTCTGAGGTAAGATTTTCTTTCTTCTTTTTAATTATCGAATATCAATTTCACATTCTAGGATTTATCTTGTCAGTATACTCAAGTTAGATTATTGAAATATTGAAAAATAATGACTCAAGTTATGAAATATTATAACTAGCAATTTTGTTGCTAGAACTTTTCTATATTTATTGTTAAGCGAGAAGAATTAATCTTAATTTTTTGAGCTTACTTTGATATTTGAGTCAAATTTGATTGCTGATAAAATGCAAGCTTTTGTTTATATAACCCTTTAATGTTAAAGACAGAACTATGAATATCGACTCTTTAGGCCCTGGGCGGCTGCCCCTCTTCCGTCGTTTCGATACGGCCTGAGCTGATAAAATTCTTAGTAATGGTGTTACCACAAATAGTATGAGACAGTACAATGCTTGCTTTTTAATTTACGAAATCGTGTGAATTTGGGTAATGCCAATCTAGAACTTAACATAAGAGGAGAATAAGGTTTATGATACTGTAATTATTGTAAACAATGGGAAAGAGAAGGAAAAGATGCCGCTGAAAACAGGAAGCTAACTGGTAAATACTAAGATGAAGGATTAGTGATTAGGCACTTAGGCTGTTAGGGCGTCAATAAGATTTGAACCAGGGACTTTACACAAGTTGGTAGTCGCTTTGATGTGGAAATAGTTAGTCTAACTAATCCTTTTCGTTGATATATGATATTGAGAATTTGAGATGCAACATACTTGTATTTGTTTTGAAATTTTACTAATTAACAGGGTGGGTATGACCTACACAGCTACACTTAAATCCGTCCTTGCTAATTGGGATTTAGATGTATTTTGTTGAAGTGTGTGTTCCTTGCTAATAGCCTAGGGTGCCAAGGGTGGCCAGTCCTGTCCTGGTTTAGGGCAAGCCTGGTAAAGTTGTCAATTGCCACTGTCTGATTGGGATTTTCTCTCTATCTCTGAATCATTCAGTTATTTGATGTTCGTATGCTTGATTATAATAAGAATGTTGTTAAAAATTATGTTCTTTTGGGCTGATATGAAGCTAGGAAGTTGTAATTTTGTATAGTCGAGATGTGTTATTGTCCTGAATAAAATTGTAGTTTTTATTTGTTTACATGAATTTATGTGAGGTTATGTTATTTTTGTAATTCTTTGGTTTAGTTTGTGTAATGTACAGGTGGGATTTTTGTAAGCATTTCTGGAGTTTTTTAGATCAAATTTCAAGTGATTGATTTTTAAAATTGATTTAATTTGATTTGCAGCCAGGAGTGTATGTTTTTGTGCGGTAGAGATGAGTTTAATCTCTCAAAATGCTGTTGTTAAGATTAAAGAGAAGAAGAAGGGTAAGCGGATTGGTGATGAGGGTGAGGAGCTATCCTTGTTGGAAGGCAGGGAGGAGATTTTGGAGGAAGAAGGTTCTGATGTTGAAGCTGCTGTAAGTCATAAGAAAAGAAAGAAGAAGAATGATGCGGAGGAAAAGAAGATTCTTGCTGAGGAAGAATTGGAAATGCAGAAGTTGGGGAATTTTTTGTTTGGTTCTCTTCATTCCCCAGTTGAATTTGGAAAGGAAGATGAGGATAAAGATGAAGATGAAAAAGGTGTGTTGGATGTAGATGACTCTGCATTGTTTGTCTTGGACTGCTCTGGTAATAAAGATGTGTTGATTAATGAAGAAGATGGGGGTTATCAAGTGGGATCTGCTGATGAAGATGGTGATAAGCAAAGGAAGCCTGCTTGGATGGATGATGAGGAGACTGTTGTTAATATCTCAAAGGTTAATAGGTTGAGGAAGCTGAGGAAGGAAGAAGATGAGACCGTTATATCTGGTTCTGCGTATGTGTCAAGGTTGAGGGCTCACCATGCAAAACTGAACCCTGGCACAGATTGGGCCAATCTTGATTCGAAGGTCAGAACATATGATTCTGACGAGGATTCTGAGGTAGAAAATGGAGCTGTGGTTGCTTCAGGGTATAAAAGTGTTGATGATATTCTTAAAACTAATGAAGAGCTTGTGGTGAAGAGAGGGGGAAAGCTTTTGCCTGGAATCCTTGAGTACTCGAGATTAGTAGATGCAAATGCAGAAGACCCTTCTAATGGCCCAATAAACTCTGTCCAGTTTCACAGAAATCATCAGTTACTCCTTGCTGCTGGATTAGACCGAAAGCTGAGGTTTTTTCAGATTGATGGCAAGAGGAATAAAATGATGGATTCCATCTTCATTGAAGATTGTCCTATTAGAAATGCATCATTCTTACCTGACGGCTCTCAAGTTATTGTTTCAGGGAGAAGAAAGTTTTTTTACAGCGTCGACATATCCAAGGGAAATGTTGATAAGATTGGGCCACTGACTGGAAGAGAGGAAAAAAGCTTAGAAGTATTTGAGGTTTCACCAGATTCTCGTACTATAGCCTTTTTGGGAAGTGAAGGTTACATCTTATTGGTATCTGCTAAAACAAAGGAACTGATTGGCTCCCTTAAAATGAATGGAACAGCTCGCTCAATAGCATTTACTGATGACGGGCAGCAATTGCTGAGTTCTGGTGGTGATGGGCATGTCTACCACTGGGATTTAAGAACAAGAACTTGTCTCCATAAGGGTGTGGACGAGGGCTCCATAAATGGCACTGCTCTTTGTACCGCACCAGTAGGGAATCTATTTGCAGCTGGCTCATCGAGTGGAATAGTTAATGTGTACAACAGGGAGGAATTTTTGGGTGGTAGGAGAAAACCAATCAAAACGCTTGACCATCTCAGAACTGAAGCAAGTTTCATGAAATTCAACCATGATGCCCAGATATTAGCCATCTGTTCAACTATGCAGAAGAGCAGCCTAAAGCTGGTTCACATCCCTTCATTTACTGTCTTTTCTAACTGGCCTCCTGCAAACAAAACACTACATTATCCAAGATGTTTGGATTTTAGTCCTGCTGGTGGTTTCATGGCTGCGGGGAATGCAGCAGGAAAGGTTTTGCTGTATAAGTTGTATCATTATCAACAAGCATAATTTATCAGGACTGTCTGGATGTACTACTATCCTATTTTTTCCAATTTTGCTCAAAGGAATAGCTTCTCTCTGGTTTTGAGATCAACAAAGGGAGTTAAGCTAGTGGGATTTTGTAAGTTGTCTTTGAGGCTTTTGAGTTGCTGTTTTCAGAACTTCCTTCGCGTATCAATTTAATCATGAGCTCAAACAAATTCATCAATCAAAGGTATTTCCAATTTTATTTGTTATTTTATATTTATTTATTTGTTTATGTCCGATAAGCTGCATGATTATCAGTCTGACACACATCACATCCTGTAGCATGCTGGTAATGAATTTATGCTGAATTTATTTTGTATTTCAGTGTAATTTGATGGAAGCTTTACCAATGACATAGTTCTAATTTTTAGTATTTTATCCAATCTATTATTCAGATAATTGCATAACTTATGAGACTATATGCTGCCATGCCTGCCAATGATTCTGTTTTACCAGTAAAGTAATCATGTGTTCTTCACTTTACCGTAATTACTATACTTTTTTTTTTTTTGAAACATAATTACTATACTTATAAACAGAGCACAAGTATACGCCATAGCAACTATCCATGTATTCCCACTGTCTTAAATTAAAATAAACCATTGTGGAATTGATATTTGATGATTTAAAAAAATAAATAAAATTTGGCATTGAAAGGACAAGGTAATGAAGATCAACTATTTTTTATTTAATTTTTTTTTTAAAACCTATTCTACATTCATATACGTAATATATATCATATCTACTTCCTCAAAAAAAAAAAAAAAAAAATTATATATCATATTTATCTGTTTTAGGGTTCGTTTGATTTTTTTATTTGTTTTCGTATTTTTATGCTATTGATTAAAAGAATAAAAAGCTAGTCAACTTTATTTAAAACATCAAGTTTTTGAAAACTGACAACAAAAAAAATCCTAACTATTTTTTTTTTATGGTTTCCTGCATTTTTGGTAAAAAAAAAAAAAAACTAGCCCAAAGTTATCATCTCTGATACACGGAAACGGCAAAATTCACTGACGTATCGTGTCCAAAATGTTCGGAAACGTATTACGTTTCGAAGCGCATCGTAACGGCTCATAGAGTTTCCTAATTCTGGGATACGTCTCTCATAATTTGGAAGTTTGGAAACCCTTGGGAAGCTTAATTCACGGTATAAATAGGCGTTTCCCCTTAAAAAAAAAAACAATTAAACCCTTGATTTTACATATTACGAGAAGTTGAGCAGCATACTTGATTAAGTTGTTTCCAAGCTTTGGAGACCCTTGTTTGCCGCCGTCACCGCCTTGCCGGAACAACGTTGAGGTAATTTGGGATGAGAAAACACGGATGTGGGATGAAGCTAGACCTGGCAAATGGGTATTCGGGTCGGGTCATTTTGGGTCGGGTCAAGTTCGGGTCAAATAGGTATCGGGTCAAGTTCGGGTCGGGTCGGGTCATTTCGGGTTGATTTCGGGTCAACTGATAATCTGGTCGGGTCGGGTATCGGGTCAACACTTCGGGTCGAGTTCGGGTCGGGTCAATTTTCGGGTCGGGTCAGTTCGGGTCGGGTCGATTTTCGGGTGCAAATTTCGGGTCAACTTCGGGTCGGGTCATATTCGGGTCGATGCACTGGGTTAAATTCAACTATGTATATATATTTATTTATTTTTTGACAAGAAACTTACTATATTTATTAAGGCTACTTTTTTCATGGAATATACTCATATAGTAATTGTGAGACTTTTGTTGACCTTATTTTTTTTTTTTTTTTTTGGTGTTTAGATTGAGAATCAATGTCAAGATCTCTTGAAACTAAGAGGGATGCACTAACTATTTGAGTTATACGCTTATACGAGTTATACCTTACTCTTTTATTGTCCTTAGTTTTAATACTCTTATTATCATTGTCACTGTTTACTGTTGTAATATTTATTTGTATTATTCTTATAATAATCTATAATATAATCTATGTTTTTTAAGTGCTCCATTAATAAATACATGTATGCAGGCATGTCGTGTAAGAAATTGATTAATAATAGACTTCCTATTTTAGTAACTTACGAATTTTTAATAACTTATAAAGAGGAAAGGCCAAAGAAATCGAGAAAAGTAATGCTCAAAATATGTAAATTACTTACACTGTTAGTTTGTTACACATTACAAATAAAAAAAATGAAGTCAGTTTGATTGCGGTTATTTTCTATTTCGGTTTGCTCAGGTTAAATCGTTAGCTTAAAAGCTTAAATAGATTCTGGTCATTTCAGGTATAAGGTAATCTTAGTTCGAGTCACTTTGGATTTCGAGTCTATTTGGGTCAATTAATCCAAGTTAAAGATCGGGTCACTTCGGGTCGGGTCAAGTTCGGGTTTCGGGTCACTTCGGGTATCGGGTCAACTTCGGGTCGGGTCATTTCCGGTCGGGTCAACTTCGGGTCGGGTCACTTTGGATTTCGGGTCAAGGTCGGGTCAATTCCACTTCGGGTCGGGTATGGGTTGGGTCGGGTTGCTTAGGGTTTCGGGTCACTGTATTCGGGTCGATTTCGGGTCATGGGTCGGGTCATTCGGGTCGGGTCAAGTTTGCCAGGTCTAGATGCAGGTGGTGATCAATTTGATAACATGGAAGAAGGGGGATTTCTTGAGTTTGCCGACCTTTTTCTTGATGAACCAGAATATGAATCTGAGTTTTGTTCAAACGACATTAATAAGACCAATTAGATTTTAGTACTTTTATCTTTATCATAAGCTTTTCCAGACTTAAAAGACTTAAGTATTACTTTGTTTTTATTTCTTGCAATTTGTTATTTTATTCTAATTAAATGTCTTTTTAATTTTTTTTTTTTTTCGTGTCCCCATTTCCTATAATTTTAAAATTTCCGTTTCTCCAATTCCCCGTTTTACATTTCCATGCAACCTAATTTATCATATGTTTTTCCTAAAAAAAAACACATATCTTGTGGTGTGACTAATCCTACAACTTTTTATATATTATACTTATCATATCTTATTTGTTTGATACACTGTATGATATAATGAGTTGTTTCAATATACAAACATAGAAGATTCTTTCGAAAATCCTAACCCACGAAAATCTTCCCCAACCAACCGTAGCGTTTTACACCAGTAAAACCATGAACAAGAACAACCCCATGTTTGAAAAGATACTGAAATCTATTTATCTTCCAAACGATATCATACAAGAAATAGTCTACAGATTGCCATCTAAATTAGTATTTCGTTTCAAGGCTATTAACAAAGAATGGAATTCAATATTATCCAGCGCGCAGTTTATGCACAAACATTGTTCTCATCAACGCCGTATTTGCCGAGTAGTGGATGATCACCTAATCTTGTTAGAAAGAGACCAACTATACCATGGAAGTTATAATAATCTTTTCAACCCGAAAGCAGCAGCCTCTGCGGCATTGGAAAATCCTCACAGTTGTTGTCGAGGTAAGGGCTGTTCAGTAAAACCTGAAATTCTTGGTTCTTGCAATGGGTTAGTAGCCTTGAGTTTACGTGATTGTTGTTTCGGTATGAAAACAATAGAACCTTCAGCAGACCCTTTTCGGTGGGAGAAGACTGATCTCGATCCAAGTTGAGACTGGACTGAGGATTTCCTGCACAGAAAACACACGTAAACTAGCCTCGGGGGTGGTTGCCGAGGAAGGCCCCTCCGATGCTAAAGTCAGTTCAGTGTGAGAAGAATAAGCTATGCAAGAGAATTAGTTGCTTGAGGCTTGTCCTGAATGAATGTTAGAGGAGACAATTGATGGTTTTTATACCTTTGCTCAATAGAGGAGAACTGGGCCCTTGAGGTCAGATGGGCTTGCCATGCTGACTGCGCTTGGCTGACTTAGCATGCTTTTGGAGGGTTAAACCTTACTTTTGGGATTTTGTAATTAAATCATTTGGACCGGCCCAATTAGTAAATGACTGAATTGGACCCAAACAACTTGCCCCCTAGACTCGATTCGGAAGGATGACAGGTCGGGTTTTGAATTGCAAAATGGAGGGAAACAAATGATTGTAATTTAAATCTGGAATTTGGACAGTTAATGACGTTGTAACTGTCATTAAGGAGAATTATTAGGGAAGGTAGAAGGTTTAGTGGGTGGTTAACTTGGGAAAAGTGTTTAACGGTTGTGATTAAGTAGAAGTAGTGGGGTTTTTGGCGGTTTGGACTCTTGGTATTCTTGATTCCAGCAAGTTTTACTTAAACCGCCCTCTCCACTCTTTTTCCGTCACTTTTCGCAAACACAAACACCCTAAAATTCGCAAACACCCTTGAGAACCTGACTTTACTCTTTCCTTATTCTCTGTAATTCCGAGCTTTAAACTGAAATTCGGTGCTCCAAGCTTATTGATCGGCAAATCCCAAGTTTGATAAAGGTAATTTTCTCTGAAACTTGTTCGGATTTCCCTTGTTTTTTCAAGCTTTCACTTTTTTCCCGATTTTCTTAATTTTCGCACAAATATGGCTCAAGACCGAGGAAAAAGAACGATGGTTGACGAGGAGGAGGAGGAGGAGGAGGAAGTTCCTCAATTAGGGGCTCGGCGCAGCCAGCCACTTGGGAAAATGCCACCCTTGAGCCGCCGAACCTCTCTCCCTAGAAGAGAAGATAGGGCTATGGCTGAAGACGCCACCATTACTGCGATACCACTGGCTTCGGTGCCTTATCGAGGCTGGGAAGAGGCGAGCACATCTAGCAGCGGCTCAGCCATGGGCCTCGGCGTCTGCCTTCTGGGGCCACTGAATGGCATAACCCGCCCGAGAACTATGGGCTGATGAATGCTGCTCCCTATGACTGGTGGGTCAATGGAAATGCCCTCCATCACTTCGCCGAGCAAATCGAAATATTCTACGGCATAATAGAGGAAGACGGGTATTGGTGTCAAATGCCCGTAACCGAGAATAGAATTCACAGGCCCCCACCTGGTTACATCGACGTGTACACCAGGCAACTCCAATTTGGACTTAGATTTCCTCTGCATCCGTTCATTATACAGGTGCTGAATGGGTACAATATTTCGTTGTGCCAATTAACCCCGGTCAGCATCCGAAGAGTCATGACGTTTCTCTGGGTTTGTCTCTTCTATGGATTTGAGCCGAGCATTCACGTGTTTCGGAAACTGCATAAGCTGATGCCGAATCAGCAATCTGATGAGCATCATGGCCCTGGATGGTGGAGGATTGAGACCCAAAGAGGGTTCTTGACTGCTTAGCCGAATGACACCTCGGACAAAGATTGAAGGGGCAAGTGGATATGGATTCGGGCTCCTGCCGAGGAGGGTCACCCGAATTACTATGGAGGGCCGAGGCATCTGAGAATGCCAGATTTGAAAATGAAAGTCATCGGCCCAAATGATTTCACAGCCGAAGAGAAGGAGTTGTTGACTCTCTTTGGAAAAAAGAGGAACCCAAGGGGCACTGGCCGAATGACCTTTGTGCCAGAGACTTGGCTACCCTGTTATCATTATATCTTCAAGGAGAAGATATTAGCTGCTGTCGGCCTCAGCCAAAAGTACCAGAATGGTAAGAAGCTCGGCTGGGGCCGAAGGCTTTTGCTTTTCTTTTCCAATTTTCTTTTTTCTTTTATATGCTTCTCTTTCATGCAGAATAACCTTTTTCTTTCGGTTTTTCAGAGCTGCACGAAGGGAATTGCGGCTGGGAATACAATAGACTTGGCATCAACATTGCTCGGCGAGTGACGAGGAACGCCCCAACTATAATTGATCCATCAGCTAGGGCTCCTGCACTTCGGCCGTCAACGCTAGATATAGTCAAGCCAGCTGAGTATTCCGGGCAGAAACCCTGGTACTTGAAGAAGGACCCATTTTTCTTGTTGGGTCCAGAAGAACAAGCTGTTGCCGCTGCTGCTAGCGTGAGGGCCGGTGTCTTTGCAAGAACTTCTGAGCAAAGTGCCGAGCCGCAAACTTTCCCTGCTGAACGCAACATGCTTAGCGCTGAAGACCTCGGTGAGTCTTAGTATTTTTTCTGTTTTTCTTTTTCTCCTTTCCTTGTTCCTTCTACTTAGATTTGCATTTGAACTTTTCGACTTGTGAAATTTTTCCAAATTTTCTCTAAGTACTAAGCTTCGGCTTGGAGGTTTTTTTTTTTTTTTTTTTACTGATATGACTCTTTGCCCCCCTGTCTCTTTTGTTGCAGTCTGACGAAGAAGAAGGAGAAAAGAGAGAGCCTGATAAAGGACAATCATCTTCTTCAGACGAATCTTCGGCTAACGAAATGGCCGGAACAAGAAGAAGGAGAGCTGTTGTAAATCCGGGACAGTTCTCGGCTACTGAGCCTCCTACTAAAAGACCTCGGCTGGATGAGGGCCAGACTGAGGTGGCCACAGAGAGAACTCCCCCTTCCCCTCGAGAACGGAGAAGAAGAGGTTCAGCAAAGGCCTCCTCCCATCCCAAGATCTTCTCCGTCTCCTCGGCATATCCTTGAACCTTTTGCTGATGAGGTTAAAAAAGAAGCTGACGCACTCATTGTGCAGCCCGCCGAGGACGATGATGTTCTGATTCTGGATGGGAGGTCTGAAAATTTCAATGAGGCCGATGAAAGAGGCGAGAACCCGGCTTTTGATGTTCCTTCAACCTCTGCTGGGAACTCTTTCTGGACCTTCCATTCCTTGGACATGGGGTTTGAGTCCGCCCCACTTTTGCCTGTTCCAAAAGCTGTTAGGAACAGCATGCTCTCTCACCAAAACTCGGCTGTCGAGTTCTTTGGTGACTTGTCTGGCCTGCCCGAGCTAGAGAGAGCAAAGATCTGGTCTTTTCGAGCCGCTGCTGGAGTGGCTGAACCTTTTGTAAGGGTGCCAAACCCTTTTGCTGAGAATCATAAACTGCTAATGCAAGTAGCTTCACTTAAACCTTTTGCTTAAGTATTTTTGCCCCTCTTCATTAAGCTTATTTCCTAAAATTTTTGCTAAGTCCTTTTCCTCAGCTAACTTATCTTCGAACCTTGTAGGTCATTCACAATTATGTCATGACTGCTGATTTGAACGAGGATTTGAAGAATAAAGCCAAGGAGGCTGATTACCGAGCTCGGCTAGCTGAACTTAAGAGCAAGAAGGCAGAAGAGGAATCTGCGGCAAGCCAGTCTCGGATGGATGAAATGGCGGCCAGTCTTCGTAACTTCTGCCGAGAGGTCGAGCAAACTATATTTCCTTGGATTGAAGAAGGCCATGCCTTAATCCAGGAATATGAGGCTGTTGACATTCCGAGCTTCAAGGCTCGGATCGAGCAAAAAATGCAACAAGAGGCAGAAGTTCGGCAAATGATGGCGGAGGAATTCATAGCAAAGCAGGTTGATCTTGAGGCTGAAGTTCAGCGTCTCAACAATTAGTTGAAGGCCAAGGACTTTGACTTATCCACTGTTAAGACTGCATTAAAAGGAGTCCAAAGCCAGCTTGAGGTTCAGACAGATGAGGCTGCGAAGGCTAAGGCGGATCTTATGAAGGCCCTGAACTTGCTGAAGGTCCGAATCAACACCCAAGATCAGTATGATGAGGGTTTCAAAAACGGTTTCAAAGTTGCTTGGCGCTTGGCCTTCCATGCTGACCCAAGCATCAATTGGGATGTGGTCGAAGAATGGTCAACGGTTCCTAATCATCCCAACCTGCTAACTGCTCAGGAAGCTAAGGTTGCCTGCCTTGCTCGTCTGGCCGAGAAAGAGGCCCAAGAAGGGGAAGAAGAAGAGGCTGCAATGAAAGAGAAAGACACTGCTCAGCGTGCTTCATCCTCTGTTGTTGCTACTAAGACCTCGAAGGCTCCCAGCTCTGATCCAGCCAATGCCGAAGCATAGGAACTCGGTCAGTCGTCTACGGAATCTTGCTGGTCAACATGTTCTTGAATGATTTAAACGTCGCATCTGCTTTTTTGCCTTTCTTTTTCTTCAGCTTGCCTTGCATTGTACAAACTTATTTTTGCTTTCTTAAGTATTTGTACTAGTTTCGGCAGCTGTATTTTCCGCTTGTTGGTTGCTGCCGATTTAGGATCTCTTTTTTGTACTTGACTTTGAAATCCTCGTTATGAATATGAAGTTATTTTCTCAGCTTTTCTTCATCCATTACCTATTTTTCTAATTCCTTTACTTAGCTGCCTCTTTGAATTTCTTCAAAAAATTTCTAAGTATTGAACCTCGGCTTGGAAATATTCTTGGTTGAGAACTTCTTTATTTACTGTGAGTGTGCTATTTTGCTAAGTACTAAGCTTCGGCTCGGAACTAGCTAGCTAAGTGCCTCTTGCCCCCCTTAGAAATATGAAGATGTGATCTTCAGGTTTTTGAGGTGATTGCTTCGACTTTTTTGATGCAGCCGAGGATTTTTCCTTGGCAAAATTTTTGCAAGTATTCACGCTTTAAAGTTTTTGCTCCTTTTTCTTTTCTCTTCTATTTTGTTTTTGAGGGATCTGATTTCGTTGTTCAGAAGCTTTAGGCTCCGAGAACAATATATCTTGATCCTTATAATTCATCCGAGGGAACGACTATCTGAAACACGATGCCGAGGTAATGATCTATCCGAAGTGCAATGCTGCATTAGGCAATACTTCGAAAATGCAATCATCATCCGGAACTAATTCATCCGAAGTACAATGCTTCACTAGGTAATACTTCAGGGCTTTATCAGTTTTTTTGTTTTTCAGGCAATGTTTCGAATGCGCCTATGGCCTCTTTGCCCGGAGGAACTGATTCATCCGAAGTACAAGGCCTCATTAGGCAATACCTCGGGGGTTTATCATTTATCCTCGTCTTGGCAGGTTTTACGGCTTGCCAAAGTACAAGGTCTCATTAGGCAATACTTCGGGCAGCACCGAACGAAAACCTTGAATTGTTTCAAAAACCATTGAAGACAGAAAAAAATAGAAACTTGCTGAATTTGAATAAATGGTGGCTCATAGGCCTTTCATTAATAAGAAAGATGTACTTACACAGATTGTTCTTCCCTGAAGGGCTTTACACATGGTATTTCTTAAGTACATCGGCATTCCAGTGGTTTTTCAACTCAATACCATCCAACTGCCGAAGCTGATATGTTCCTGGCTGAAGCTCATCATATATTTCATAAGGTCCCTCCCAAGTGGCTGAGAGTTTCCCATGAATGCGTCCTTTTTGCACAGCAGCAGCATTCAGAAGAACAAGATCCCCAATTTTTAGAAGTCTTGTATAGACTCTTCGGTTGTAAAATTTGCTGATTCTCTGCTTGTATGCAACCATTTTATCTCGAGTTGAATCTCTGATCTCATCTAAGAAGTCAAGAGACTCTTTCATGAGTTGTTCATTTTCTTTGGGTGAGAAGAGATTTACTCGTAGACTTTCTGAGCCAATTTCCACTGAAAGGATGGCTTCAGATCCATACACTAACTCAAAAGGTGAATGCCCCGTTGCCTCTTTTTCTGTTGTCCGAAGTGAGCAGAGAGTTATTGGAAGTTCCTATATCCACTTGGACTTTTGATCTTCAACTCTCTTCTTGAGAACGTTGAGGATTTGTTTATTGGCAGCTTCGGCTTGACCATTACTCTGCGGATGACAAACTGCAGAATATGCCAATTTAATGCCGAACTGATCTGTGTACAGCTTCAGCAACAAATTATCGAATTGCCTCCCATGATCGAAGACAAGAACCTTCGGAATCCCGAAGCGAGTGATAATGCTCTGCCAGATTAATTTTCAGACAGTTTGCTCTGTAATGTTCGAACTTGCTTCGGCTTCGATCCATTTGCTAAAATAGTCTATGCCGACTATCAGCCATCTATTTTGGTATGGAGCATCGGGAAATGGTCCCAAAATTTCCATTCTCTATTGAGCAAATGGAAGAGGATTCAGGATTGGCCGAAGATCTCGTGATGGCCGATGGATGACTGGTGCAATTTTTTGACATTTTTCGCATTTTCTGACCAGCTCCTTAGCATCCAGGATCATGGTTGGCCAGTAATATCCAGCCCTTAGCGCTTTATGTGCTAAGGCTCTTCCCCCTATGTAGTTTCCGCAGATGCCGAGATGAATTTTCCGAAGGATGTAATCAGCATCTGTTGGACCCACGCATTTCAATAGCGGGGCTGAGAAGGACTTTTTCAAGAGCTCTCCTCTGAAGATGATGAACCTTGAGCTGATTCTTTTCATCTTAGAGGCTAAGTTCCTGTCTTCGGGAATTTCTCCCCGAAGCTTGTAAGCTAGGATGGGGTCATAAATAAAATGTACCACCGTGACTAAAGTGGTACAATTTTATCATCCATTTTGTAAATAAAATGTACCACCATGACTAAAGTGGTACATTTAATTTACGAAACTGCCACTGTGAGAAACAAAAACGTTTCAAATGTATCTCAAATAAGTTAGAAAAAGAAGAGAGCAAGGCGAAGACAATGGAGCTAGTACTAAGCTTTTGTGAAATACATGTATTTTTGGCTTTTGATTTATGATGAATGTTGTGTATCCCATTCAATTAGTGCAGTTTATTAAATCCTTTGAAGTGGATGCATCCTTCTGCAAGAAGTCCCAATCTGCAGGTATAGCAGCAGTTTCCCTGAGACATCAATGGTGCAGAGAAGACGGGCATGACTGTGAGACGCGAGCTTAGAGCCTCTTCCTACAAAAGCTTTAGCTATAGAGGAGATCAGCAGAGTATATATATATAAAAAATCTCATTATTTTCCTAATTTATTGTTGTCTAATCAATAATCATTTTTTTTTCTCATCCTTATGGATATTCAATTCCCTTCATACCACCATGCAATACAAGTATATAATTGCCTCATGAACAACATAATAACCCAAAATATGGTAGAGAACATATTGGATCATGATAGTTGGTCAACCTACTACATGCTTATTGTGTCATTAATGACAATTTCATGATTTTGTAACTTTAAAATTTTCCTATTACTTTTAAAGCGATTTTGTTTACTTTTACTAGTTTTTATTTAATTTGTACAGAAATCCGGTTTGTGAATGCAAAATTTCAAAAATATCATTGATGACACGAGAAATGTGTTGTTTGGTTATGTTAATCTAAGAGCCCAAATGGATTTGTTCTATATTCTCATTTAAAATATGGTTTTAATATATTGAAACTTGATTATACATAGAATTAGAAAGTTGTTTTAGTTTGGTTAAACTTACGAACAATTGGTTTATATATATCCCTCATAATAAGGTGAAATTATAAGGTTCCAACCAATGTAAAGAATAAAAAATTTTCTAACAAAATAGACTAATTTTCTCACCAATTGCATTAACATCCATCTTTATAACTAACATCCTAATTATAGCAAATGATTGATGGCAAGCCTTGGACTTCTCTCTAAATTTCTCAAGTTAGCATACTTCATATAGTACATATCCAATAATAATTAGATAGACAACCTTCAAATTTGAAAAACTCATTCATTAAGCTCTCAATAAAAAGAACCAAATAATTCCTTAGGAAAACAAATCCATATAACATATATAACATGAAGCTCCAAGCTCTTTCATTCTTTCTTCTAACCCTCTTCACCATTTGCATAGCTAAGCATGTAAAACTTAATTATAACATCGACGAAACCCAAACGAACGTCCCAAAGCTCACCCCACCTAGTGCTGCAGATGGCAAGGACGAGATATTTAACATTGATGAAGTTTGCAGGGCTAGTACCGCTGGTGGTAAGTGCACCTCCGTCCTTAAGTCTCTAGGAGGCGACAAAAAAGATGTGAAACCTAGCAAATTCTCGGACAAAGTAGTTAAGCATGCCCAAAGCGAGTTTGGGCATGCCTCTACAAAGGCACGCAAAGAAATGCGTGAAGATGATGCTATTATCGAAGTTAAAAAGGCGTTGTCACATTGCGTGAAATTGTACCTAGACATGAACGATGAGTTAAGAGGGTTGTACGCCGTAGGGCTTAAATCTAGCAACTATGGCACGACGGCTGAAAAGTTTATTCACATGGCTCAAATTTACCCTAAGCATTGTGAAGATGAATTGACTAAGGCAGGGACTAGTGGCGAAAAGCTTGGTTTGTATGAAAATTACAAGGATCTTGAGGATCTTGGCAACATCGTCGATGTCGTTACTCGTTACGTTTCAGCCAATTCTAAGCAGAAGGCTGTTGGTGGTGGTAAAAAAAAATTGAATTAATGGTTAATGATATATTGGTTATTGATATAACAAATTGGATGAGTATGTAGCTATTTGTTTAGCTTAATTATCTTATGAAATACCAAAGTCTTGTTTTCATTAAATTCTTGATCAATTTCGTGATGATGTCTTTTTTTTTTTTTTTTTTTCATTTGAGAGGGTGAGGGGGGGGGGGGATGATTGTTGTTTGCAATGCTTAAGAAATTAAGACTTAAAACGTTTGCATACATATTTTTAAGAGAATTAGGTAAGGTTTTGTACACATTGAATGTATAATAACTATTTGTGAGTATCAATACTTCATAATTCCAAATCATGTAGAATTCATCCTTTTTGTGTCTAGATATTAAAATATTATGAAAACGAAGTAAGAGCTAGTTTGTATTTTACAACTAAAGATCTTTGTTCCACGTTGGTGGGAAAAATACGTTTTCCTTTGTCTAAATTTGTGGGTTGTATAAACTGATTTTTGAAAGATTTTGCTAGCACGGTTAAGCGGGCTAGAAGTAGGCATCCCTACGGCGTTGCCATGGCTAGATCCAAAAAGACATATACCAGCATAGCTCTTCTATAGAGGACTTCTTTTTGACACATCTCTTTATGTTAAAATCATGTAAATTGATCTGTCTCCAATAAAACCAAATGAAAAACCCTACATTAATAGCAAAATTTTAATCCTCCATATATCCCTCTCGTTTAATAACATCGGTCATTATTACAATCAAATTAATTCATCACAACTTTAACCACGTACAAAACCTACCAAAGGAATTTATTCTCTTCACGCCTTCACCCAAATCAACTAGTTTAATAAGGACTAATTTGGTTTGGTTTGGTTTGGTTTTCATTTTCTAATCTATTTTATTCTGATTTGGTGTACTTCTCTAAGAGAACTTTGACCCTAAAATATATTAAGATTATACCCCCTTAACTATCTTCTAAACCAATAAATAAATCAATCGTTAAGAGAATTATGAATTAAAGATTGTAATAGAGTTTGAATTTTATTAATAAATTAATAGCGTTTAATTTACAAAATACATATAATCAAATATAACGAGTGTCAGTTCAATAATTTTAATATCGTTAGATCTGTATCCAAAATTAACTCAAAACTAGATTCATTTGTAATATTGTTTAATGCCAAACAAGAAATCGTTTACATTGAATGTTATGCCACTATAACCTACTAAAATGCACATGATTTAGTAAATAACAACAAACCACCCACTGTTAACAAATTAAAATAATACTCCCTCTGTACCTATTTGTTTTTGCTCCATTTGACTTTTTACGGTCTCCAAGATGTGTCTTAGAACGCACATATCTTCATGTTCATACACGTAAAAAATATAAAAACGTGATATTAATAAATTGCGCAATGAGCTGAATCTAACAAGATCACTCATTACTATGTTTTCTTTTATAGATTAAATGTAATTTATGGTGACCCAAAAAATGACAATGGGGACAGAGGGAGTACTCCGTAACTAGGAAAGTATGTCACTGGAGTTTCTATATTTAAACTACTAATATGGATATCAGAATTGGTGAGAGTGAGGGATAGCTCAAGCGCTTAGAGCTTCCCTCTCGATTCCAAGATGTCTTGAGATCGATTCTCATTAATCGCCCTTGTGGCTCTCTAAAATAAAAGTAAAAAAAAAAATTGGGTAATTGAAATAACAATCAATAAATCACTATCAATAATTTTTTTTGTATTAGGGTTCAAATAACAATGTGAAAACAGCAATCATTAAAATAATTTGCAAAATTATTATTCCAAAGTCTAATAAATAACTCATAGGATCACCTGAGCAAAAAACCATTGTTTACTTATTGCCTCAAAATTAGTTGAGATAGTATTTCTTATGTTTTTAAAGTGCAACACTTTGACTTTTTGGATTATTTTGTTAGTGGCTTTGACTAATATAATTTTTACTAGTGTATAAAAAATTGTTATCATGCAATAAATTGTTAGATTAGTTACAAGTTTTACAATATTAGTCTTTGATAATCTGTAATAATAGACAATTAAGGATATGAATGATTAAAGTTATCGACAAACATGTCTGATCAAACAAAGAGAGTAGTATCGCACAATAAGCAAGCGATGCAAATAGTAGCATGCAGTTGCTTGCAACATTACTAAGTGTAGTTCGTCACAAAGTCATCTCTATCTGACATCAACCAACAATATATAGGCTAACTTGGTAATTTAAAATTTCTACCTTAAATCCTTGAAGATTAGGTTTAAATTCTACCAAGTGAAGGTACTTGGGGGAAGGGAATACGCCTACCTTCCACACTACTTTCAAGTGCCTAGCCCGTTGCAAATATTGGGCCAAAAAAACTATAATGGTTAAGGTCTAGTACGGTTGGTCAAGAACTCAAGATCCTCTTTACCATTTAAAAAAAAAAGTCACCTAACAAAAGTTAATATGGCACAAATTTTCATGAATTAATTAACTAGTTGATCTTTAATACTTATCGTTTCAATTTAGTATAATAATTTAGTTAAAAAGAAGGGGCATGAGAAAGGTATTGTAAGTAAAAAAAATTACATTAATTAGGGTTATATTTAGTTCAACTTTTCTTAAATACTCCATATTTTATTATATTATTACTTATTTTAGTTTAAATAAAAAAAAAGTCAGGTAAGAAATAAATAAGTTCAAACAATATATATTGTTTTATGTTGATTTTTCATCGCCAAATATCTATAATTCTGTAGTAAAAAATTATGAAACATATTTGAAAAACACACATTAATACAAATCTAATAAAAGACCATTTGATGTACTTCATATGTTTTTTCTTATGAATTGAAATAGCGTACATAAAAGGTCAAAGTTCAATCAAATTACGCATTCAGATCAGATCAAATGAAATCAAAATAAATTATGATGATTAGGAAAAAATAAGTTTTGATTAGATCCAATATAATAAGTCAAAATAAGGTGAACTAAAAATTACCCAAGTGGCCAAGTCAAATAGAAATCGCTCTCCACATTATATAGAAAGACTATCATTTATAATAAAAGATAAAAAATAAAATAAAAAAAATGATGTGTCTATTATGCCATTCTCAATTTAGGAAAATAATGCTACTAATTAGAAATGGATGAAGTAATTGACTAATTGTATAAACCTTATGCATTTTTAGTTTAAAGGACACAAACATACAAGTTTTCAACTATAGTCCAAAGACTTTAAACACAAATTGTGTCCCTAATTAAGGTCCTATTGGTGAAAGACGAGCAACCAATCTATAATAAACCCATTCTTATAATAGCAAATTTCATAGCGATGACCCTTATATTTCTCCTTACCATTCCTTTTGTATACAATTTTACAAGATACACCAAATTTTTTCTCTTCAATCAAAACAACCAGCTAATAAACAACTTGCCTAAACTAAATTATTACCCTTATATTATAGCTAGGCATAAACATACAACATCTTTGAAAACATTCAAACCAAATCAAAACACCAAACAAAAAGAACACATAAATGGAGCGCGTTTTCTTAATGTTATTATTGCCTCTTACAATTGGTTTGATCCTACAACAAAATGTAGCAATAGCCTTGAAAGTAAGAGGCGGTGTTCCTACCGCTAGCCCAACCAACAAAGGCAACGCACCAAACCCCCTCATCGAAAAGGCGTGTGCTAACGCACAATACAAACAATCATGCACCCAAACCCTAAAGTCACAACCAGAGAGTGAAACCGCTGACATGAAGAAATTGGCATTTTTGTCCCTTAACAAGACTAAGTCTCTAGGATCAGAAATTGCTGCATGGGTTGGTGACAAGCTTGAGGACCAAGAATCGATGGGGCCTGGCATCGAGCAAGCCTTGACCGACTGCAATGACCAGTACACCGATGCAATGGCTCAACTCGAGGACTCGTTGGTGGCCTTCTTCTCTAATGCTTATAAAGATGTTAACACTTGGATGACAACCGCGATGAATAACGCAAATAGTTGTGAAGATAGCCTTCAAAAGGGAAATGCAGTGGATGTAATGGGTGACAAGAATAAGGTGTTTGCGCAACATTGTTCTAATGCTTTGGCTGTTGTTAATGCTTTGGCTCAGAAACAGTAAAAACGTACATGAATGTTGTATGGTTAGATTTTTTTTTTTTTTTTTTTCATCTTTGTTGTGTCGTGTTGTGTTGCGTGTGTATGTTTTGGTAATATGGTAAATTTGTTACGGAATAACATTAGTTTATAATTGATTTATGAATTTCTTACATATCAAAACTTGATTTCTTTGTTCATGTGTTGTTACATATTTGAATTTACATTGATAAAAAAATTTGCTTGATAAATTAAAAGAAAATACTCTATCAATTCGCTAAATGAGAGGATTGAATAATGAATACATTACGTGTGCATGAAGCTAAATCAGACAATCAGTCGTTGAATTGTAATACTCGGCCTCTATTTATGTCTAAGACAAAGAAATAAGATTTTATTAATAAGATACCGAGGCCAATTGACCACATTGATATAAAAGTTAGCACCTTCGTGACACGGTGGTATAAAAATTAGCACCGGTGACAAATTGGTATAAAAGTTAACAAATTGTGACAAATTGGTATAAAAAGTTAACAAGTTGTGACGTTTCACCCTTCTTTTCTTGCCGAAGGAGTTTTTTTTTTTTTTTATTTTTTTTTTTTTTGGTTATTGTTAATTCTCATTTTATGCTAAATAATTCTCTCCTCCATGCTCGTGCACCCAAGATTATCGACAAACAATAACAAAAAAAAAAGAATACAAAATTGTGAGTTAAAAAAAAATCTAAAAAATGAATGAAAAGAGAAATTTTTATGATTTTTTGCTTGGTTTTTTGGTTGGCTTTTGGCTTTTCAACTTGGTCAAATAGCCAAAAAAAGTGTTAGGTAAATGGCTTTTTTGTTGGCTACAAAGCAGGCTTTTTCACCAAAAATAAAAAGCTAGTCTTACTAGCTTTTTGGTATTGGCTTTTGGCTTTTTACCATTAATTACTTTTATATTTTTACTTTTAATTAATAATTAATAATAAATAAAAATTAATTAATAATCAAATATTAATAATTATTAATAATGATAATTAACTATTAATAACTAATAATAATGAATACATAATTATTAATTATTAATAACTAATCATTAATAATTAATAAATTTTAATTTTTAATTAGTAATAATTAACATATTAATAAAATAAATAATAAGTAGATTAATTAATAATTGTTATTTATTAATAAGTAGTAATTATTATTATTATTATTATTATTATTATTATTATTTGCAATACAAAGATAATAAAATTTATCAATGTCCTTAAAGGTCATTTTTATATAAAACAACCAACAACCAAATTTACCAAACATATTTATTAATAGCCAACAGTCAAACAGCCAACATAAAAAGTCCATACAAACAGTTAGTCAGACCAGCCAAGAGAAACATCCAGTAGCCAACAGCCAACAGCCAACAGCCAACAGCCAACAGACAATTGCCAAACAAGGCCAAATGTCTCAAAAGTTAAAATTGGCATGTAATAAGTTGTAATATTTAAGAAGTTGGGAGCAAATATATTTATATAAAATTGAATATTTGGGGGGGGGGGGGGGGAAAGCTCGATGTAATCTTGAAATTTTTTAAACAAAGCATGGTCTTGTAATTTTTCTTGATTAATTCTTATGCATAATCTTGAATATTTCTCTATATTATATCTTTGTTCCCTTTTTTTATTCTTTGACTTTTTTTGGGCTTTTAATAGTGTCCAAGAAATTTAAAATAAATATTTGAAGCAAAAAAAAAAAAAAAAAAAGTAAAGAAAAACAATAGATTTAAGCTACAATAATAAGAATAATCATTCCTAAAAAAAAAAAAAGAATAATCATTTGTACAATATATGTTTATCATTCTAACAAGATAAAGGCTTAAACGTTATCACTAGCAAACTTATACCAATATGTCATCACATGGTAACTTTTATACTGATATGTCATTACATGGTAACTTTTATATCAATATGTCACCGGTGGCCAACTTTTATACAAATAAGTCACAACTTGCTATCTTTTATACCAATCTATCGCCGGCGATAACTTTTATACCAATATGTCACAAGGGTGCTAACTTTTATACCAATATGGCTAATTGGCCAAAGTAGTCAAACGACACTTACAAACAATTCTTAAAAAATCTAAAAAAAACCAACATCAGTATATAACACCTTAGAACTAATTACATCGTATATTCGATCAACAATAGTCTTAATAAATTTTTTATTTGATAAATCAATACAATATGTGAGTTAGCATAAACTTGGTTTGAAATTCACTGAAGTTGTTTAAGTAAAGTTACTGGTACGATCCTCTAGATACTTACGGTTGTTACATGGCCATATAAATTAATGTGATTTTTGTGAACAATGTCAATACTCCATAATTGGCTTAGGTCCATTATATACTTCCACTAGCTTGGGAACAGCTCAGAGATTTCACGAGTCCTTGTTTGACGGGCAATTTATTTGTCTGCTTCTTAGATTTTTAATTTTTTTCCCAGCTTTGTAAAACCTACCTAATTTTTCTTTGATCTTTCAGTTATTCCTGACTAGTTGGCAGATTAAACATTTTATTAGATCTAATTGCACTGTATATGAAATAAGTCTTTCATTGGTCAATTAGTGAGATGAAAAACCTAATTAATTCGACACCTAACTAACAAATAAATACTCCCATTGTCTTTGATGTTTTCCAAAGTTTTTCCCAATTTTTTTTTTTTTGGGTTGTAGGATAAAATTGGGCTGAAAAGTTATTTTAGTTAAAATTTTTGACCAATATAAAGCATATGATCCTTTTATCAACAATAATAAATTACTAATAGAGTTACCTAACTTTTGAATCTTTCATTCCTAAAAAAAAAAAAAATAAATAAATAAATACTAATAATTCTTAATTCGTTCCAAAATATTATTATTATTTTTGACTTTTTATGGTCAAACATTAAAACTTTGAGAGAAAAATTAATTAATTTATACTTCGAAAAAATATAAAGTATATAGCCACGTAAGATTTTGTTAGAATTATAATAATGATATTGATGATCAAATATACGTTGAACATCATTTTGAGGTGGACGGAGTATAATTACTAAATAAAACTTATTAGCATGCATCGGCACAATTGTAAAAACTATTTATATTTGTGTATTTTCTCATGGAGTAGCATTGTAGCAACGAAACATTTTGTATACATTATATCCTCGAATTAAATTCTATTCGATTCCACAAAGTACAACTTTATTTCTTCGTCAATAAAGATGACCAATAGAAATAAATTAAATGTAATTATTGATTAAAAATCTACATAAATTAGAATTTTGAATGACACTAAAATATCATGTTTACAACAAGCCACTCATATAAGGTACCCCTGTTTGAGGTAACCATTCATCTCCAAAAACAAATGTAGAAACTGTAAAATTAATAGCATCTGTAACATTCATAACATGGTACCCTGCCCAATTTACTCTATTAGTAACATTAGAACTTGGACCTGAATTGTTGAATTCGCCATAATATAACGTATCCAAGGCGAAATTACCATCCCATTCTCTCCAACCAGCAGGATCAACCACATTATCAATATACGACTCCAAATAAACCGTCCTCGAGTATTCCTTCCACGGCCTCCCTAGATATGTCTTTGTCGTACCATTACTACTAGCAAGATCATCAGCTGCACGTATCACACAATTATTAATAGCAATGCCGGTGTTTTGGTTTGGGTCTGTTCTGCCTTGTGCAGTGATGGCGTTGAATTGTTTATCCAAGGGCAATCGAGGGTATATGTTGCAATTTTGGAACACAACATTTGCGTTGCCAAAAATAAAATCGACTGTACCATATATGTCACATTCTCTATAGAATTGTCTAAGGGAATGTACGTATAACGTGTCTTGGTAACCTTCAAAGCTGCAGCTATAGAAGGCGGATAAATCCGCGCCGCTTCTTAGAGCTACTGCTTGGTGTTTGATTGCACCAGCTGTGTTTCTTATGGTCAAATTCATGCCCACAAATCCTGTTCCAGTTACAGCTGCATAAAAAATGAAATGTACCTTGATTTAGCTTACATACGTTGATACATATACAATCAACTGATTTAACTATCACCGATTTAAAATACGGGAGTATAATAAGACATTTTTCATATTTTTTTGTTTTAATAACTTGTTTACAAATTACAAAATCAATGCAATAATACAATTATGGTGTATTATCTTCCTGTATTATCATCCTACAGTAAATTATGTAGTAGAAATGAGAAATTTTTGACCAGGAAATTAAAATCACTATTATGTTTGACCTTGTTATTTTATTTCTTTGTTAGTTTGACCTTGATTTTTTTATTTTTGCCACTTAAAAGATTTCAAATGTGCTTTCGAATTGGTAGAACAAAATGGACCAAAGGCAGTAATTTTTCCTAAAATATAAACCATTTCTCCACTCTATGATATGGTTAGTGGTTGAAATCTTATACTTCTATTTTATTTTATTTTTAATTGCATTATGTTCCTTTTAGAAAGTTGTACGTTAATTGCACAATGTCCTAACTACCCTTATTTAAATGTAATACCAACGTAATATTGTTACCCTATTTTTTTTCTCTCTCGTTTGTTTATTTCACATGATGGACAAATTTGACATTCTCCACCTTTACTCCTTTTCTTAAAATCTGTGCTCGTATCAAATGATGCGATTAAAAAAAACGAAAGAAGTATTACGTAATGTATCAAAATATTTTATAAAATTAAGTTATTGTTAGACTTTCTATAAGATTCTATGAATCTTATTTATCCAAACAATCTCTTTGTTGGTCAAAACCAAAGCACAAGTTATTTAATGAGACAAGATTATTTTCTCGGTAGCTATTGCGAGTCGGTGACGATGAAGAAGTACGAGAATTCGACAGACTTCTGACAATTAACACTACTCCTATTTAAGACCAATTAACTCCATCACTTCTTATTAAAATATGACCTGCATATCATTTAATTTATGTTTATCTGTTTTTTCTATTAATCATATTTATCTGTTTTTTTAGAAATCATTTATACCACATTATCTACTGTCTATTTACAAGCTGAACAATTCTGTATGAACAAAGTTTATTAGAATTTTATATATTAGGTATAAAAACAAAATAATAAATTGGTACGAAAATTAGTTTATCATATTGAATTATTATTAGTTTTCAAAAAAATAAAATAAAATAAAATATTGGATTATTAGTTTATTGCATGTGGTGCATTTAGTATAGTTCAATATTCATGCATAAAATGTCCTTATTTCGTAGCACACCCGTGATAAAATTTCGTATTTAAGGATAATGTCATAATATCCCCATAATATAGACAATAAAAGTGCATGCATTATTACAGCAAATAATGAAATTAAATAAATAACTACCCTAACATATATACTAGCTTAGCTAGTTTTGTTTATAGATATTAATGTTAATTAAATGCGCTCATAATATGAAATGAAAGGAGTAACAATAAGTAGATGAACATGGTAAGTCGGTAACCAATTCAATAATAATGAAAGTGTACTTACCAAAAGTAGCGGATTGAAAAGTAGTAAAATTGTCCACAACACTACGATTTCCGGTAATAATCGTCTGATTAATACCATCACCAATCATCATAATATACCTCTTCTTCTTATCAATGGAAACAATCTCGTCATAAACACC